CGTCCGCCGTCGGCCTTTCCCTCGCAGTGCTTAGCGCGGTTTTCAACGGATCGTTCGCCGCCTTCTCCAAGCTCGAGAGCGCGGGCCTTGTCCACCCATTCATCTTCAACCTCTACCTCGCGCTGGGAGTGTGGGCGTCGTCGTGCGCCGTGCTCCCGTTCATGGGTCTGCTCGGCCACCCGCCTGCCGTCGTTCCTCTCGGCGCCCTCGCCGGCGCACTCTTTGTTGGTGCCTCGTCGCTCTCTTTTGTCGCCTGCGCAAACGTCGGCCTGTCCACGGCGCAGGGAGTCTGGGGCGGCGCTGCCATCCTGGTTGCGTTCCTGTGGGGCACTCTTGGTCCCACACCAGTCGGGCTGCCGGTGGTCTCTCTCCCTTTGAGCCTCCTCGCTGCAGGCCTCCTCCTGCTCGGGGTGGCCGGCATTGTCAAGAGTGACGAGCTGGGCGGGTGGATCGAGCAGCGGGGCGTGCCGCCGACGCTCGAGCCGCTCATGGCTGGCGGCGGTGCTGCCACCGCCACTGGCACCGCCACCAGCAGTGGAGCCAGCAGCCCGACGGGTGACGCAGTAGAGTCGCCGGACACGCCGCCGCTGACTGTGACTTCTGCGGGAGCGGCGGCAGCCTTGGCCGCGGCAGAGCGCGGCGGCGGAGTGGGCGGGTCACGGCCGCTCGGGATCTGTGCCGCGGCCAGTGTGGGCCTGTTTGGCGGGTCGGTGCTGGTGCCGCTCAAGTTCCTCCCCTCGGACGAGTTCTCTGGCGTCGCCTCGCTCGCCTTTTTGCCCTCGTTTGGCTGCGGCTGCCTCGCTGCGGCGGCCAGCCTCGCAGCCGCCTTCCGTGCCTGCCGCGGCGAGCCCGTGCCGCTCGGTAGCCGCGGCACGCTCCTCGCGGGGCTCGGCTCGGGGCTGGTTTGGAACCTGTCCAACGCCTGCCAGCTCCTCGCCATGTCGGCCTACTCCGTCCCGTACGGCGTCGCGTACCCGATCCTGCAGGCCTCACTGGTCGTCGCAGGGCTGCTCGGCATCTTCCTCTTCCGCGAGATCCGCCAGCCTTCCGCCATCGCGGTCTTCTTCGCCTCCGCCGCGACCGTCGTCGCCGGCGCGGTGCTGCTCGGCGTCTTCGGGCCGAGCCCAGCAGCCGAGCCCTCTGCAGCCGACCCCTCTGCCGCCCGCCCGTCGGATGCGCTCCGGGCGCCGCCGACGACCGCGGTGGATGCGCCGCCCGCGGCGCCGCCGCCGGGCGGCCACTTGAGCCCGGACGCGCTCGAGATGCTCGGCAAGGTGCTGCTGGAGGTGATGAGCATCCAGCTGCTCGGCTTCCTGCTCAAGCGGTCCGGCGCAGTCACGCCCGTCACCGAGGCGGGAATCGGGCACTACGTCGCGGTGATCGGCTTTCCGTGCGTGCTCTTCAGCGCGCTCGCCGAGCTGCAGCCCGCCGCCGGCATCCTCCCGCTGATGCTCGTGATCGGCTCGGCAAAGGCGCTCGTCTTCGGAGCCGCGTACCTGATCGGCTCCCGCTCCGCCTCACGCGCGGGCGGCGCGCCCGGGGAGCCCCTCCTGCGAGGGGCGCTGTTTGCCATCTTCGGCACAAACAGCGACGACGTCGGGCTCGGCGTCCCCATCCTCGGCATCCTCTTCCCCGGCCGCGTCGACGCGCTCTACGTCCTCGCCGCGATGCAGGCCCTCCTGCTCCCCAGCCCTCCCAACCCTAACCCTAACCCTCGCCGCGATGCAGGCCCTCCTGCTCCCCAGCCCTCCCAACCCTAACCCTAACCCTCGCCGCGATGCGGGACCTCCTGCTCCCCAGCCCTCCCAACCCTAACCCTAACCCTCGCCGCGATGCGGGACCTCCTCCTCGCCGCTCCTACCCAGCCCGCTCCAGCCGCCGACCCTGACCCTGACCCCCACCCCCGACCCCGGCCCCGGCAGGCCCTCCTCTTCAACCCGCTCGCGTACGTCCTCCTCGGCGTCAGCGGCGCGAGGAGCGGCGAGCCAGCCGTCCGGCCGTCCCTCGCCGCCACCCTGTGCACCGTGCTCGTGGGCCTCCGATCGAACATGCTCGTCCTCTCGGTCTTCGCCGGCCTCGCGTACCGCCTCATCGTCGCGGCGCCGCTGCCCTGGTTCGCATCGTATCCCATCGAGCTACTCGGCCGGCCCTTTCAGCCGCTCGTCTACCTCATCGGCGGCTTCGGCTTCGTCGGCGCCTTCGACTCGCTCACTTCGCTGCCTGCCGCGGTGCTGCCTCTCGCCGTGGTCGCCCTCAAGAGCCTCTGTCTACCGATGGCCGCCTTCCTCGCGATGCGCTGGGTCGAGCCCGACGGCGACTACATCTTCCTCTACGCCCTGCTGCCGTGCGCGAACTCGGCGCTCGTGATCGCGCGCATCTACGGCGCCTCCGGCCCGCTCCTCGCGACGCTGAGCTCGGCGCTCGCCCTCAACAAGGTTGCCGCCTTCCTGCTCCTCTTCTTTGCGGGCATCCTCGCCTCCGAGTCAAGCCCGCGCGAGGCGATGCGCATCAAGGCGACCTTCTCCTTCGCGATGCTCTGCCTCTCCCTCGCCGGGGGCGTCTGCCTCGCGCTGACCGGCGCGCTCACTCCGGACTGGCGGCGGAGCCGCGGCATGCGCAAGCTGCTCGCCCACTTCGTGCTGCAGGGCCTCCTCGCCGCTTCCTTTTGCGGCGTCCAGGCGGCGAACCACTCGCTCGGCATGCGCCCCTCCGACACGCCCACCTACAGGTTGCAGTACGCGGCCATCGACGCGCTGCGCTGGTCCACGAACGCCTCCCTCCTCCTCCTCGCCCTCGACTGGGCACGCAGCAGCCGCCTGCGCGGGAAGCCGCAACGCCGCCTCGGGCTCGGCCTCCACTTGGCCGCTTCGGCTGCCGTCGGCCTCGCGATCTCGCTCCCCTTCTCGCTGGGCGCCGCGGGGCCGCCGCGGCCGTCGCCCGCCGACGTGGGCACCGACTACTGGCTCGCGTACGGCCGGAAGCAGGCGCTGGCCTTTGCGGTGCTCTACGCCCTTTTTGGGACAGCCAAGCTGGCGTGTCTGCTCGCAGTAGCACGCGACATGCCTGGCCGCCGCCGGAGCCAGACGGTGCTTTTGAGCGTGCCGGCGCCGGGCGACACGAGCCCGTTCCCGTACCCGCTCTCCGTCGGCGTGTTGGTTGCGGCGATGGCGCTCAAGTGCCTCGGCCAGGCGGGCCTGTGCGGCTGGTACTACCGCGACCAGGGAGGGATCGCGCAGACGACCGCCACCGTCGAGCTGGTCATGGTGATGGTCGCGCTGGAGGACGGGCAGGGCCTCCTCTCCTTCTTGCTCTTTGGGCTGCAGCGGGCGAGCATGGACATCGTTGGCCGCCTCTGCTCGTGCCTCGTTGGCGGCGCCGCGCCGGCGCGAGACGACAACCAACAACGGGTGCTCGCGGCGTACGTCGTCGCCGTCGAGGCGCCCGATGAGGCCCCGCAGCAAGCCGATGGCGCGGCGTCTCCAACAGTCGAGGCCAGCAGTTGATCGCCGTCTGCGAGATGAAAGGTACACATGCCATGAGATGTGTCGGCATGTGCGCGAGAGACCAAGATATGGTCAGGTCACGAAAAGTGTGTGTGTACTGATACGGTACGTCTCTGTCGTTCTCCACCCTGGGGCGCCTGGGCTCG